CAAGCCCGTTTTGTTCAAATATGAAGGGGCAGCTATATTACCTTAAGATACACATTGAGAGAGTATTACTTGAAGGGTGGAATTAGTGTATTCACCATCACCACCGATTCATCATGTAACTTTGAGGTTAAATTGTCTTTCAACCATGTGTTGGACATAAAAGAAAAATTAGAGGTGATTTTAAATATATTTTTCACGAGAAAAAACCCAGCAAAAATAAGAATAGTTACCACTGAAGGAAACATAATATTTATCATCATTAATGCAAATGGTTGGGGAAGGACCCCATACATCATAGTGAATAATTTCTAAAGGTCAATGATGGCTCCTTGGCATAGAGGATGAAAACATAAATATGTGATATTAAGCTAAATGAAATGAAGTACAAAACAATGTAGTTTAGGAAGTACATATTTCTACATTGTTACTTCCTAGGATGGATAAAATAGAAGAGTTGGAGTGGCTGAGTAGATGATGCTAGAGAACTGGAATGGATTTAGCTAAGACTAAGGCATTAGCTAAATTAGTTTCTTCACTTTAAATATTAGAATACATATCATAAAAACTAATTGTTTTGAGATTGGTTCCTATGGCAGTCTTGAATGCTTGATAGGTTGGTGGAAGATCATTCAAGGGCGCATAAGATGATGTCTTATGGAGTGAGAGGAGACCGAATTACTATTATAGTATCAAAGTTGGCTTTAATGTCATATAATATTGATTCAAGGTTTGATCTTTCATGGAGAGTGAGAGGCAATGGAGTTCATTTATCTAAATGAGTGATGCATTAGAAATTTGTGGATTGCAAACAACATTCTATTGTTGTCCATATTTTGGTGTAGGAGTTGAAGGTGAAAACATAGGGTAGAATACGAGAGGAAATAATTGAGTAGAGACTAGCAGCTAGGTTTTGATCTATCAGCAACCATGTGTAATATTGTGGGTTAAGAGTGATTAAATCGTCATCATGAACATTGTGCTTAGTTGGGCAAGGAATTGAGCCATCCAAAAATCCCTCAAAGCCATTAGCTCTAAAAAAAAATTTAGGACTTCTAATCTCCATGTGGAATCCTACTCTAGTGTGAGTTGAATGTGGATGTTTCTTTTGATGTCTGACATCCCAAAGTTGAGTTAAGATGGAATGAGGGTGTCTCCTATCTTAAGAGGAAGGCTTTTGACATTGTTAGGATTGTCAGTCATGGCCAGTCCCAAGGGATCCATGACACCGCCAAGGGGGAAAGAGAAAACAAACATCATCATTACAACAAATGAAGCAAAAGATAGCCAAATTAATCTGTAAATCGGAAAATTGATGCTCTAAAATGGTTGGTAACCTTTGTACTTCTTCATGTCCTCCCTCCTGCGATTGCGGTGCCGGGCCCAATCCGAGATGCTAGCACAATCCTCACCTTCAGCTTTGCCTTCCGCAGGCCCCGGGATGATCTCAATCCGTAGCACATGGTTGGAGAAGTTACTCGAGTTGAAGGCAAATTCGAATTTCTGATCAGCGCTCGCGCGTGAGAAACTCGGGTCCATGATCGTGCTCCCGTTTCACAAGATCCACCTCACTCCAAAACCTTCCTCAAATCCCTTGCTCATTACCCGCGTCGCCGATCGCAGGCAAATCCTCACCTCCACCCAAAATCGCGAATTTTTATTGCCTCAGTTTAGCTGATGCAACTCTACGTTCCGTATTGCTTCAAATCTTGACACCTGCGCTGACCCTATCCGGCGAAGATTGGGTATATGGCAGGTACGAAATTTAAATTTGACAGCCCGACCAGCGGACCCGAAAATAACCCCTCGTACCAAAAACTATGTATAATTTTCAAATAAAGATCATCGTCTTTCACTTCAGACATGATTTGCTTGCATATACTTCATCTTCTTCCACCGACGATACTTCATCTTCTTCCAAGTTCCAAACTCTCCGTATTTGCGTTTCATATACTTCAGACATACAATGCCTAAGGTTAGTTTATTTTTTGATTAACAACGCCTTATCTTCTTCTTTTTAAATGTTTAGGGTTAGGGTTTACCGAGGTAAAGTCGTATACCGAGCAGTACCGAGCATTACTAACACTTGGTATTGGGGATTAATGGTCAGTATAAGCTTAGATTAAAACATAAAATATTTATTGATATATTATAGAGTTATATACACTAGGTATTGCTCGGTACCGAGTAGTACCGAGCATTACTAACACTCGGTATTGTTTGGTATTGGCGATTATTGGTCGGTATAAGCTTAGCTAAAAACTCGTACGGCTCGGTACCGAGCAGTACCGAGCATTACTAACACTCAGTACTGCTCGGTATTGGGGATTAATAGTCGGTATAAGCTTAGTTTTATAAGCTTAGTTTAAAACATAAAATATTTTATTGATATATTATAGAGTTATATACACTCGTTATTGCTCGGTACCGAGCAGTACCGAGCATTACGAACACTCAGTACTGCTCGGTATTGTTCTGTACTGAGCATATTTTGTATGTATAATTTAATACTCTGAATGAATTATCTTTAATACTCGATATTTATTATGCAGAGATATACTCCAAAGATTCATTTTAGATGCCGAACTTTGACTTTTAGAGAAGTTCGTAATCTACTTGTTCGGAGATTTGGAGATCCCTTTGTTGAAAGACTAAGGCTGCTGCAAATTAGCCAATTCCTGAGGGTACCCCTAATGCCGCAGAATGTTCCACTTATATATATGCTGCTATCGAAGTGGGATATGAAGACTAAAAGTTTCATTATTAAAGGACAAAGTCTGGAGTTCACATCTGATGAAGTTGCATTACTTATAGGCATGTCGAATAGGGGTATTATTTTTGACGTTGGAAGTGCCAGATCTAGTGGCAAAACTTCAAATGACATTCGCCATGATATTGAGAGGATGGATAATACAACTCCAATGGAAGATTTATGAAAGGATTCGTCCTTTACCTACTATCCAACATATTTTATTCAATGGAGAACTTCCGTATACCATCATCTATCTTGGAAGTTGTCAAAAATGTTGATAGTTTTAATAAGTATAACTGGCCTGAATCAATTAGGGGTTTCCTAGTTCAAGAATTCAACATTGTTGCTACAAAACAAGTAAAGGGATCTGCACTGGGTTATATAAATGGTTTTGTCATTATTGTAATTATGAGTTCAATAGATCTTTGGTTAATTTACAAATTGTATAACAAAGTTAAATTGTCTTCATTTGTACAGATTTGGTTTCTTGAACATACAACAATTGATGCTGCAGAGGATGAACTATCCCATCCACGTTTTACTCGCTGAGATGATAACTTCATCTATAGTGAGAAAGATGTAAATAGTATATTTGCTGACCTTGAGGATCATGAGGTATCATCACTACATTTTTTCATTTAAATGTATGGTAAAATTATATGTTTAAATGTTTAAATTTGATGAAATATTATATTATATGCAGATTCTCAAAGAATTCTGAGGAATAATAGATGATGAGAATGTTTTATTGCATAGTCTTTCTTCAGCCAGTCCAATACGGGTGGAAAGCCCAATTAGGGTAGCTTGCCCACCAATAGATGAGTCATTTCCACCTACTAGGGTTGTGTTAGGTCCAACACTACCGTTGCCAGGTCCCAAGTCCTGGATGAGAAAAGTGGAGGGTTGTGTTAGGTAGTCGACAACCAGCGTAAAACTTGTCGAATAATAATGACATGAATCCTTGAGCATAGGTTGCGGCGTGATACTAATGTTTCTCAAAATCAATTTGGATTCATGCCGGGTAGGTCTACTATGTAAGCTATACATTTATTAAGAGGTTTGATGGAGAAATATAGAGAAAATAAGGAGGATCTACATATGATATTTATTGATTTAGAAAAAGCATATGATAAAGTTCCAAGAGAAGTGCTTTGGAGAGTTCTTGAAAAGAAAGGAGTCAATAATGCTTACATTCAAATCATTAAAGATATGTATGCAGGAGCTATTACTTGTGTTCAAACACAATGTGGATTGACCAAGTATTTCCTTATTTCATTTGGGTTACATCAAGGATCAGCCTTAAGCCCATATCTTTTTACTTTAGTCATGGATGTTCTCACTAGAAATTTGCAAGAGGATGTACCTTGGTGTATGCTTTTTGCTGATGATATTCTTCTTGTTGATAAGACTAGAGAGGGAGTTGAAGGTAAACTTGAATTATGGAGGTCAACATTAGAGACTAAAGGTTTTCGCTTGAGTAGATCTAAAACAGAATATATGGAGTGTAATTTTAGTAGTAATAGACCTAGTGAAGGGATTGTGACTTTGGGCGATCAAGTCATTAATAAGAGTACACATTTTAGATATCTTGGATCTATTGTTCAGAGTGATGGTGGAATAGATGGGGATATTATCAACAGAATTCAAGTTGGATGGTTGAAATGGAGGAATGCATCGGGCTTGTTATGTGATAGAAAAATACCCCTCAATAGACCTAAAAAGACTTGGTTAGAAAATATTAAGAATGACCTTTCTTTATTAGATTTAAACGAGAATTTGACATTTAATAGGACACAATGGAGAAAAAGGATTCATGTAGCCGACCCCATGTAGTGGGATAAAGGCTTGATGTTGTTGCAGGGTACCTAGTCCGATAAGGGAGGCAAGCCCACCCAAACATGACTCATCTCCACCTAGTCCAATTAGTTCAGTACGGGTGGCAAGCCCAACTGATTCTGATTCATCTTCACATCCTAAATCAAGTCCAGTAAATGATGAAACAAACCTGAGGATATTAAATCAAGCAATATACAAGCTGTTTACCGAGGATAAATTTATGAAGAAGAAGGTAGCATAGGTGGAAGCAACCAATAGTGACCTTGAACAGCGCATAGTGATTCTGGAACAATCTATTTTTGATTTGAAAGAGGAGAATTTTGATTTGAAAGAATAGATAAAAAAGAAAGATGGCTTTATTTTGCAGTTCTTCCAAGATCAATTTCTTGCTTATTTTAAAACTTACAAGAAAGAAATGGCTGCTGGTTCTTCCTCATCAATTACTATATCTGAAAAGGATGCCACCCTGAGTGAGGATGAGGTTGATCCATCCTTACTAACCGGCATTGCAAAAAGAGTTCAAAAGCGAAATGCTAGAAAGAGAAAAGTTGTATCCACACCTTTTACAATGGGTGATAGTAAGAAGAAAATTAAACTAAATTTGGCATCCAAAGAGAAGTTTGGTCACTCAATTTCAAGTGATACTCCAGCAATAGCACCTGAACCTGCTCCTGCACCAACACCAGCTTCGACACCACCTCCTCTAACTGAACCTGCTCCAACTTCTGCAAGTGAACTTGCACTAGCACCTGAAATAACTCTTACACCTGCACCACCTCCTACGATTGAACCTTCTCCAACTTCTCCAAGTGAACTTGCACCAGCACCTGAAACAGGTCCTACACCTGAACCAATACCTGCAACTGATCCAGAGCCTGAACATGCTTCTGTAAATGATGTTGAACCTGCTGCTGATAAATCTATGATTGTTTATGAAGTTGATGATTCTAAAGAAATAGAATTGAGACCTGCACCTGAATACTTAGATTACCCAGGCCGATCATTAATTAGTGAAGATAAATGCCTATTCATCGATAATGACCTGAAACAATTTAAGGATAAGTGAGTATTGAACTTATACCGACCAAATTATATCAATACCGAGTAAAGCTCGGTACTACTCGGTATTATATTAAGTATGCTCGATACCATATCAATACTGAGTAGTACCGAGTAGTACCGAGCTTTACTGATCGGTACTACTCGGTATTATATTAAGTATACTTGGTACTATATCAATACCGAGTAGTACCGATCAGTAAAGCTCGGTACTACTCAGTATTGATATGGTACTATATCAATAAATACCGAGTAGTACCGAGCTTTACTAACCTGTACTACTTTTTTTATATTAAATAGACTCGGTACTATATCAATATCGAGTAGTATCGAGGTTTACGATTATCTTTTTGTTTTTTTATTCATCTTTTATAATGAATATTTTTTTGAATTATCTAGGAACGATACTATTTTTGAGTTTGGAAATATAATAATTTTTAGAAGCCAATTGGACGAGTTATTAATGTCAGAGGAGCTTGATAATAATCATGTTGATGCATTTGGTCATTTATTAATCCAGAAGAATGCACTTTGCCCGGGCTTAATCAACCTTTTATTTTTGTTTCTAGTTTCCATTGGGTTAGTAAACAATTTTTAATCCTTGAGTTTGCTATTTCTATTTATTAGATTTAAACATGTTGGAATTAA